GCCATTACATGGACCAATTCGGCCCATTCTTGTAAAATCTAATTAGAAATAGATTAAAGCAAGATAAGGCCATTATGGGCATCTATATGGGCCAAATTGTTTTTTGCAGTTGGGCTCATATACCAAAATGAATATTATTAGATAATTCGGTCCATAGATGAATTGATAATGTGTTAATCTAAATGGGTATGAGTTTTACAAGATTTAATTTGATTTTGATCAAAATATATGTGATGTGCTATGTGAATGTAATTCGTACATGGGCCATTAGTACTTGGCCCATGAGAAGACTTATGTGGCTCTCCATGTCCATCATGGCTGAATACACATCATTTTCATGGTGCCCATGGATCATTGTATGATCTCCTTTTAATGGGCCATTCTCTTTTTCCTCTCCAAAGAGGAACCTTGTAGGAACCCTAACCCATTTAGGGCCTCTTTGAATATGACTTTATGAAAGTTGGTGAGAGCCACTATGGTAAGACCTAAAGTTGACCTAGGGATTGTTATACTTGTTCCCTTATGATTAATATAAATAATATGAGATAGGGAATGCCATAAGATGATATCTCTAAAGGCCTTCCATCATTAGTAAGAAAGCAGGCTGAATTGATGGATAGATATGCACCATAAAATTGGCCTACTCATTTTGATGAGATAGTTAATGGGATTGCTTTATAGGATGATAGGGGCATCATAAACTAGTGGGAGGGGCCTATCCTAAAATGGAAGGCTCATTAACAGTACATTGGGTCTCCCGATATGATGGGTCAACACTTACTAGTTAGAAATGTTTAATCTAAAATGGCAATGAACCTTGTCCGATGAAGGCCAAAAGGAAAGCTCATCAGATGGGTGGATACATGATCCTTCATAATAAGTGATGGATTATGTAGCTGAAAAAGTTGGCCCCATGAACCTATGTTATTTCCCAATTTTTTAGAGATATGAATAATGTCTCTGTCCCTAAGATAAAAGGAAATCTCAAAGGTGAACAAATGGAAATGAAACGTACATAAAAATCTTTTCTACGGTACATAACATGAAACAATGATTAAGTTGTGGAGTAATGTATTTGTATTATTTGTCAAAAATGGCACACAAATAGCTTGCTAAATTGTTAGATGACAACAAACTTTAGGGACCAAACCACACAGACTAGTTTCATAACCTTAACTTGGTTCTCATATCTGAGAAATTGAACAAAATTGTTACTAACTCGACACCAGAGCACCCCCTGATAGAGCCTCCGAGGAAAGAAAAATAAAATATCAAGAGTGGGAAGGAAAAACTCTCTTGCCCGATGTTTCATCATTGCCTCACTAGACAACTCTATCCGGTGGTAATTTGACAAAGTAAAAAACTACAAAGATATTTTGGATAGTTTAAAGACTATGTATGAGGAGCAAAATCGTTATGCACAACAAAAGGTCATCAAATTGTTGATAACCACTAAGATGATCGAGAACCAAACGGTTCATAACCATGCCATGAAGATGATAGGTTTTATCAATGAACTGGAGGCTCTTAGTTCTAAGCTGAGTGGTGACACTAAGATTGATGCCATCTTAAACTCTTTGCCCACATCCTATAATCATTTTGTTATGAACTACAACATGAATAAGCTAACAACTAGCTTGTAAGAGCTCAATAATATGTTATGGAAAGCCAAGGAACTGAATAGAAAGGACAAACTAGTGGTCATGCTTGTTGAAAAAGGCAAATCTGATAGGAAGAAATGAAAGGGAAAGAAGAGGCCTCAAATTAAAACATGAAGGACGTGCGTTTATTAATTACCATTAGTGAGTGTTTAAAAGGTCATTGATGACATAATTACGCGTATTTGTGATTATACAATGGTTATTTATTGATAAACAAATATATTATAATAAACATGTGTAGATATGGTATAAATACATGGAGACTTAACCATATATATATATTGATGAATTCTCCCTTTCGTATCATGATATTAACACAATGTGGTATAAAACATGGTATGTATATACCGTGACCAGTATAATATTAATATTATATACTATATAATATACATATCATTATATGTATAAATACCATTATATTAATACAAATAATACATATTATGATATGATATCATTAATTAATAATTACTAAATTAGTTAATATTTATTAATATATATATTGTATACTGTATAATTAATATTATACCATATAATTATTAATATTTTTATATTTAATTATAACATGTTTAACAATATTATAATATTAATTAATATATTGATTATATAGTATAATTACATATAATAGTATTATATTAGTAATATAATTACATATATATTATATTAATATATGAATATAATATTATTAATTATATTATAATATAAATGTATATACATATATTAATACTATACTATATTATTAATTATATTAATATTATATAATATAATATATTATAATATACTATTATAATAGTATATTATACTATATTAATAATATATATATATACACTATTATAGTATTAAATAGTATATATATACTATTGACCATGACCAGGACAAAAAATAGATGTGGTAGTAAAGTCTTTTAGACTATTGTAGGTTGCATTATTTTCTTTACATTAAAAATAAAACCACTACCCAAGGTTGATTCCAACCATCTAGGGTCTTAAGAAGGATGAATTGGATATAGACATAACATTTGGATGGCCTATGAGTACATCCTGACCATCCAAACAACAATTTTTCGCATGAAGTTTCCTATTTTTGTATAGAACAGTTTGATTAAAGGGGTAAGTAGTGCCTATTCTCTTATTTTAGGCCCCTTTTTTTCTCTCTTGTGATTGTGAAGATGCTGGCAATTGAGGGTGTTAGCCAGTTTGTTGGTAAGGTCTTTCATTGGTTGCAATAGAGACTTGGGGTCCTATCCTTGCCTTCACCTTGGCTAATCTTCCTAATAGGTGTTTCTTTCTAGAGGCATTTCCTAATAGGCATATATTGATGCTACTTTTATTTTAATTCCAAATCAACTTTGTAGCTCATCTAAATAGTAGCTTTCTAATGTCTAACTCTATTTCTTTGAATTCCAATTCCTACCAATTCAGGGATTTGGAATCATTGTTTTAAAAGGCTTAAGCCTTGTGGCGAGGCATAAAGATTTTGCCTCAAGGCTTTAAGCCTCACAAATTTGATGGGTGAAGCTTAAGCCTTTATCAGAATGAGGTGTAAGCCTCAAGCCTCAAGGCGTGAGGCATATCTTGAGGTGTATGCCTCAAGTATCAATGATTATTTAGTGATTTAATGCAAAAAAAAAATGTATTTTTATAATTTAAAATATATGGAAAAAAACACTTCAATAATTATGGGCCAAATAAGAAAAAAGTAAAAATGGAAAACAACAAGGTGTCAGCCAGTTTGTTGGTAAGGTCTTTCATTGGTTGCAACAGAGGCTTGGGGTCCTATCCTTGCCTTCACCTTGGCTAATCTTCCTAATAAGCGTTTCTTTCTAGAGGCGTTTCCTAATAGACATATATTAATGCTACTTTTATTTTAATTCCAAATCAACTTTGTAGCTCATCTAAATAGTAGCATTCTAATGTCTAACTCTTTTTCTTTGAATTCCAATTCCTACCAATTCAAGGATTTGGAATCATTGTTTTAAAAGGCTTAAGCCTTGAGGCGAGGCATAAAGATTTTGCCTCAAGGCTTTAAGCCTCACAAATTTGATGGGTGAAGCGTAAGCCTTTATCAGAATGAGGCGTAAGCCTCAAGGCGTGAGGCGTAGCTTGAGGTGTATGCCTCAAGTATCAATGATTAATTAGTGATTTAATGCAAAAAAAATGTATTTTTATAATTTAAAATATATGGAAAAAACACTTCAATAATTATGGGCCAAATAAAAAAAAAAGTAAAAATGAAAAACAACAAGGGAAATCAAATTCTATTAGTTTTTCTTAGTGTTGTTTTAAGAGTGTTCAATGCAGAAAGGACTAATCTAGTTCTTAGTTTCTTTTGGAATTTGGATAAATTAAGTGAGGTTTTTCTTATTATTCTAAATGTAATGTCCCAAGTTTTTATTTTTCTCATTTCTTCTTCTAATCGATTTTTTTTCTTAATAATAATAATAATAATAACTGTTAGTTGTTTCCTTTCTTTTAAATAATAATTTAGAAGAAAGATAAAATGTTTATAATTGTTAGTTGATTAGCTATTATTTTGTTTAATGCTTAAATGCTAAAATTTATTACTTATAAACTTCTAGTTTATGGATATGTGTACCTTCTATCATTTTAATTTAGTATTATATGTTATTTTCATCAATTTATAAATTTTAATAAATTTTTTCTTAAACTTTAAGGCTTATGCCTTGCAACGCCTTGAGGCTTAAGCCTCACCTTTTTGGGCCATTACACCTCAACTATGCCTTTAGCCTTTTAAAACCTTGTTTGAAATTTTAAAATTTAATTCAGATTCCATGCAATAGACCCTAAAGAGTTTATTATCCATCAAATGTGTTATTTATTAAGTATTACCAAAAGAAAAGTGCATTATCAAAGACAACTAATAGTCAAAAGTACTTCACAATGTCAAAAATATTAAAGTGATTCAGGGTTTGCCCAAAAATTGTCAAAAAGATCATAAAGAATTTAAAGAGGAAAAACCTCTGGTTCCTTGACTGATTTTACAAAGTAAACCACTTAAAGGGAAAATTGTTCATTCCTAACCTATAAAGCATATTCCTTATCTAGACAATACCTAGTTAATACTGGCTTTGTTGGCTTCAAGTAGTATCTGTTCATTAGCCTGTTCTGCTTTAGTTGTCAGTACTGTCAGGTGAATATAATTAGCATATACTCATACGAACTAAATCTTTATGATAACAATTAGGGTACATGATACATTAATATCACAATTATTCACTCTGTTTTTTGGTAAAACACAATTATCCATTCAAATAGATGGAGTTGAGGGTGTTATAAGATTGAAAATTTCATAAGCAAGGAACAACCTTGTGGTACCCAATAGCTAGAAAAGATTGTTATATTGGCTAGTGAGACTATTCTTGAGGTTGGAATATAGACCAAAGAGAGAGTACTGCCGAAGATTCTTCACCTCATACCATGAATTAAGGATCTCATCACTCTTATTTGTACCTGAAAAAGTTAATTGTATGCCAAGGCTGCAATCAAAAGGCCCACCATGGCTTTGGCAACTAGAGATTCCAATTGCACAGTCCTGGAGGTTAAGGCAAATGAAAGATGACTTTCCGGCACATGGTGCACATCCATCCTTCTTCCAATACAAGTTTTGAAGGGTTCCCTTTTGGAATTCAAGTACCTTTGCATACACAGTAACAACTTTGATAATGATTAATGAGTTCATAGGAAAACATGACTGGATATGCTTGTATCCCCATCCAATTCTCTTACCAATGTAAAGCTGGTTATTATGTAGGTACTGTTTGCAACAAAAGTGGGTTGTGATCTTGCTGCATATTTTTGTCCAGCAAATGCTACCATGTATCCACCATACATATCCCGGAAAGTGAATACAAGTTGCAGTACTAGACTAATTATTTTGTACTAGGAAATTGTCAATAAATACATGATAAACTTGTAATATCAACTCTAGCCATCTTCTTGCAGATTGTCAAACATAATGGTCAATAACCCAATTCCTTCATGTTCAAATCTAGGAAACCAGAAAATGATTTTGGTCCAGTGGCTCATATCCGCACCAAAAGAATGCTTGTCTTGGTAATATAGTACAAAACTGGTATACAAATTCATGGACAAAAGAGGCAATGATTCAGTTGAAAGTCAAGTGAGCTGGTAATTCTGACTATTGATGAAAAATAACCATCAGATGACAACCTAGATTGCTAGAACTAGTCCCAGTATCAGCCCAAAGATTATTGTGGATGTTTACAATTAGAGCAACTGTGAGATCTGAATTCATAGTTTTCATATATTCATATGGATCAACGTATTTGAGTACATCCTGCATGGTAGTATAATTAATATGATCATGGGTTTAAGGAGAATACAATGAATTCTAGATAAAAAATACAACACTAAAAAATGCACCAAATTATAATAGTTAATCCAATCTCCTATATCTAGCACATATCCCTCATAATAACAATGCTATACCATACAATTGTTTATCAAGCTATATATAGAATTACAACCCTGAGGCAATGTCTCTTCATATGAAGTAGTTGAAATAAGATGCCTGCAAACATGTGAACAAGTTAGACACAAAGAACAATTCTCCACTATGCAGAATGGGTCCATTTCACATGTATGAAACCAATGAATGTAAAGTTTGCATACATCAAGTTTAGGCTTGTCAGGTATGCAATTCTTGGGTCTTCATAGTTGGAACAATAATCAAGGGAGAAAAGGACAAGGAAGATGAAGACCATATGGAAAACCAAGTGTCAGGGATGGCAAAGAGTTCATGATATTTGAAGCATTTCTAAATGTCCATTTAACATAAAATAGGTAGAATTGCATGTAAGATTATAAGGTTATTAATTGAAGATGAGGTGTCCAAAATTGGTCCATATCTCAGAGGATGAAGGTATTAGATACACAAAAAAATCAAGAGGTAGTTAAGGGCAAATTGGATTGATTGTTTTCTTTTTTCAAGGAGTCTTTACTTTAAACTACTCATTGTGTTGGTGCCTCTAATTCCAGATATGATCCATGATCCACACTGACTAGAACTGAGAGAAACCTAAAGGGAAAATTTCCAGTGGTCTATAGTGGACAATTTCATGGTATGGATCCACATCAATATAGGATCTAACCTGAATAAGAAGCTTGTAAGGGCTTGGTTCTCTTATATATCTCATTGTATTTTGTGGAGCAAGCTGTCTTGTATCTTGTATCTTGAGAATATGTGAGAGGTTGAGTGTGAGGAGAAATGGGTGTATTGGGGGCCAAAGTTTGGTGAGAGAGGTTGTGAACACTGTGAATGTAGTTTTATAGTGGATTTCATCTCCTCTGATGCCCGTGGACAAAAGCTATAAAGCTTAACCACGTACATCTTTATGTGTGCTTGAGTACTCTGCAACAGGAGAAGGTATAAGCATTTCTGCCTTTTAGCACAATTGCAAGACTGAATTATGACTTCCATGTAGGGAGCAAACTTGGACTATTTGGAAATAAATCATATCTCCCAATTCACCTTGCTATCCATTTATTCTCCTATGCATATCAACCTGGTGAGACAGAGCTTTGTATTATCTAGGAATAAAATATAGGGTATGGAGTCATCAAGATGGTGCAATGAGAGAGCGCATAGTTGTGAGTCCAAAAAATTCAGCTCCATTAGTCAATCAGAAAATCTATTTCTAACACAACTTTTGGCTGTTTTCAATAGTTTTGTATTCTATATGGATTAGGACTTAATAATTAGACATCTGAACTAATTCCCCCAACCACTCTGCATCATGTAATTCCATCATTACTTGGGTGCTGTGAAAATCGAGCATCATTTAATTTTAAAATTTTGTGCATGTATTTTCTTCTTCTTAAATTAAATTTTGTCCATGCACTAATATACAGAACATCCAATGGTAATGCCACCCATAGGCTAATATTCCTTTTTCTTTCTTGATGACAGGAAAATCATCAAAATTGGGCCTTCACCAATGAAATCTCAAATGATATCAGGGGTAAAGGAAAAGGACATTTCATTTTTTTTTAGGTACGTACCAGAGAGAAGTTGCTGCCATTGATGGTAAGTAGAGAAATCTCATCTACCTTTGGCCTAAACACAGCAAGCTGAGCAATTTTGCTTGAAAGCGATAGACGTCGATCACAAGGTGAGAGCTGTATCTGCTCAAAGAGAAACGATTCTTTGGAGGAGAATGCTAACCCGAGGGTAAAACCATCGGATTTCAGAATTTTGGCATCTGAGCAGGGATCATAGATGTCATTCGTATCCCATGCATCCACCGAAGTTGTTACCATCACGATCATAATCAGTGTCATTATCAGGACAGTCCTCATAATGGCTATTGTTGCAGCTTCATCAAAAACAAAAAAAAAAAAGAAATCCTACTCGTTAGATACAGAAGAGCATTACAACAATCTTTAGAAATTGAAATTCTATACATATCAAATAGTTGATAATCTAAAAAGAATCAACGTAGATAGAAACATAAGAAATAAGAACTAAGCAACAATTAGAAGAACAAGATGTGTCTTAGCTTCTGATTAAAACAATTTTATGCAATTAAGTGATGATGATTCGTGGAGCCGAGTTTCAAATTTTCAGTTTCAATGCTTGAAGGATTTCCTCTGAAGCGGCATTGCCGCTTCGAATGAAGGAAACTCGAGAAAGCGTTGGAAAAAATCAAAGAGAGATGGCAGATGAAATTTGATGGGATGGAGCAGTGGAGCACCATTACGTCCATGCTGGATCTACGTGGATATATATTTGATGGGATGGACCTCAATACCCCTCAACTTTTGTCAAACTCAAGCAAAGAAGACCAAGAAAGGGTGAAATCCCCGCTTAGTACGAACTAAACGAGGTATATAAGGCAGCCATGTGGCCCGTAGATCCAGTTAATTTAAATGTATAATAGTATACTATTATATCTAATAATATTATATTGTTATATGCTATAATATTATATATATTATAATAGTATACTATACTATATATTATAATATTATAATAAATTAGTATTCCATAACCAAATCTCCTGATGGTAGTAAAAAGTTAATTTAAATGGTATACAATGTAAGTACAATTGGGTTAGTTGAATCATGTGGAAATTTCAACTAATAGAGCATTTAGATAATTGAACCGATCAATAAAATGACTCGACCCAGTAAAGTAGTTTGTTCAAACCATTCTTGGGTCCCTTACACACACTGTAAGTACAATCGAGTTTATATTTACCAATAATTACTGGTATTAAGTAATCTTTTTCTGTAATTACTGTTAATTACAAGGAATAAATTAACATAATTAGTGTTCACTAATATTTACGACTAATCAGGTGTTAAAATAATTACTATTAATTAACAGAATCACTCTTCATTAATTAGGTGTAAAATCAAATAAATGTAATATGGTATTATGGTTTTTTTAGTAGCCATATTATTGTTATTAAGTATTGTTTTTCTATAATTTTTGTTTTGGCTTCAAAAATATAATTATTGTTAATTATAAATAATAAGTTAACATAATTACTGTTCATTAAATATTTACTATTAATCAGTCTTAGAATAATTACTGTTAATTAATGAAATCGCGTTCATATAAAAACAAATAGATATAATATGGTTCACATTCCTTTTTTGGTAATCACAGTAGACCCAATTGAAACAATACATGTTCAGATGTTCTTATGGGGCCAACCCAGATTGTGTTAATAATGATACCCAATTCAAAAATATTGTCTTCTTGAGTCTTGACCCAAGATTAGTTGTTGTGTTAACTCAAAATGATTGCATAGACGTTGGAAAGACCATCCCCCGAGATGATTTTCAACAATCTATATCTATACTAGTATTAGTGCTAAGAAACTCTAGATTTTAAATTTTTTTACCAAAATACCCCTTTTTTCTGAACTTGGTATCCCTATATTATGAGGGCAAAATATATTCTTCATCATTAAATCCTATATTTTAAGGTATTAACTCTCATTTTCTTTTATTAAATCTCATATTTAATGCACATTAAATAAATTAATTCTGTATTTTTTAACTAAAACACCCTTATTTATGAATTTAGTGCTCCTTTAACTATGTGGGCAAAAATGTAATTTAAAGTATTATTACTTTTAACTTTATTAAATTCCCTCTCATTAAGGTATTAACACTCATTCTCTGAACTATTTTTTGTTTCTCACCAATAAATTCTACAAATTAAATCTATATCTAATCTTTTTAATGATGTAAAACCTATGTTTAAGACCAACATGAAAAATAATTAAATAAACCACCCTTTTGTTTGAGTGACAAATAAATAACTCAACCATCTGCATCAAATGGGTTAACCAATGTTCTCATAGTTAGATAATAAAAAGTTTAAAATAAATATAAATATAAATATTATGATCCAATGAACATGAATGAAGTTAATAACTTAAATGTTGGATTTAATGAGAGGAAATTGAATGCATTGAATATCTTAAAATTACCTCTTTTCAATTCATTCAATATCAATAACCAATTATCCTATTTTTCCTCATTTTTATCAATAAATTTAAATATAGAAGGGTAAATTTTGTCCTAAAAAAATCTAGAAATATTCTTGAGGCCGTTCATGCTTTTTAAAGTGGTACATATTTATTAGGGTAAATTACACGGACCCCGTACTATGGGGTCTGTGACAAATACCCCTGTACTTTTTTGCGACAAAGACCCCCTTGAACTTTGACCATTAAACAAGAAGTTGCATTTCACTGTTACAAAATTTCTAAATACACAAACTGCCCTTTTGACATTTTTTCAAACCATTTTACCCCTAATATCATTTTAAAGCTTGGCTTTAGCAAGTTATCTCACTTTATTTGGCATGTTCAAGTTTCAAGAGTAGAGGGTAGAGGGCTTTTATTTCATAGCGGAGATTAGTAGAGGCATTTTCTTCATAGAGAAGGTTGGCGACAACTCTTCTTGTTTCGATGAGTTCACTTCCACTATGACCAAGGGTTTGCTCATTGTTATGGTTTAAAGGTTGAAAGGAGAATTAATTTGCTTCATTCTTGTCTCAATGAAAGTATAAAGGTTTTTTGTTGTTGAACTAAATATATTGAATGAATATTGCTATTTTATCCATTATTTGTGGCTCTACAATATAGTAGGAATGAAACCTTTAGTTAATCCCTTAATTTAATCCACTATTTTATGTTCTTCACTCCGAATTTGTAATGACACATGAAACCTCATCTTCTTGTGATTTCTTATAATAAAACGATCTTAAGAAGGTGCTTAAAAAATTCAATAACTAAGATTAGAAAGGATATATGAAGATTAATTGATGCCATCAGTGAATTTGAAGCTTATTACTCTTCTTTGAATATGTTTTGTATGTCTAATCGCTTGAGGATAAATACATGGTTGATGGTGCTAGTTGGGTATATCATCTTAATATATTCAAGGGCCATTTGACCTTGGTTGAACTCCCTGAGTTGAATGATTTGTTGTTTTGTATTTTACTAAATGTCATTAAATAGGTTCTTTAATGGTTTAATAAACTATATATCAATTTCCACGAAGTATAATTATGTTTAATGATTAGGAAAGAGGTTCAATGATCCATATATTAATTCCCATGAAGTATAATTATGTTTAATGTTCAGGAAATGGGTTTAATGATCTATATATTACTTCTCATGAAGTGTTCAATGTTCAAGAAAGAGAGTCAATGGTTCATATATTAATGCTCATGTCTTATGGTGAAGTTTATTCTGTTTAGCTGAATTTAGTTTGTGAATGTTTGTAGTTTATTCTATTTTTAATGTATCAATGAGTGACCATTCAACATTTTCCCTCCAATCACCAAGTGATCTAAGGTTTGAAAGAAGAGTTTGTGACAATGGTAATATAAGAAGTGTGTGATAAGGGTGTCTGAGACCACCTCCAATCCATAGAAGTTGTTTTATATATGCCCAAGCAAAGTTGTAAGTTTTACCTTTCTTTATTATTGGCATCATGGCTATTGTTCATGCTTTACTAAAAAAGTGTTTTATGTAGGGTAACAGCCGATTGTCAAACCATGTGATTTTTTTGAATGGATCGTTCCAATCAACTGTAACGTCTTTACGTTACATGTTGCACGTTCGCACCAGTTAATGAAACATTTTTTACGAACGTACAACATGTAATGTTATTATGTTAAAAGCGTGGTGCAAATGTACGTTTGGATGATAAATGAACGTGGTGCAAATAATGGCAATAATGGGGAAAGAGAAGCCGTTTTGATAGTAGACAGCTATATAAGCCCATTGTTTTGGTCTTCTCATTATTCTCTTTTGCTCACACACCATCTAAAATTGAGAGAAAAAGTGAGAGAAAAGTTATTTTGCTGAGTTGGGGCATCAAGGTGGCCGGACGTGGGTTCAATTTTAAGACAAAAATTATCTTGTCAAGCAACAAAGACAATGATTGAAGGTAAATCAAATTTTATTTTGCATGTTTTAGAAACATATCTTGGGTTTATCGTATCTACTATCATCAACTACCAAGATGGAGATGGCCAAGCATTTCGTATGTGGGAGATTGAGAAGTTCATTGTCGAGCTTGACAATCGGGTGAAAACATTGGAGAACAAATTTGAGAAAATAATAATTGCAGAAGGCCTGGGATTCATGTGCCTCCTGAAACTCATGTTTCTATTGGGCTTCATTGTGTTGTTTATGTTTAGGAAGTAAGGTACCATGATGGAAGGAATTAAGCTAAACTTGTTTTGTTTTGTGGGTTTATATATTCAGGGGGATAATGCAATATACATCCTTTGTTGGATGTAAGGGATTACATTTTGTATAATCCGAATGGAGAATGCTAACCATTTTGATAGAACATATGGTTTTTTTTGGTTAGGATGCTAGAACATATGAGTTTTCAGTTCTATTTGTTTGAAGTATACAAATTATATCATTACATAATAGAGATTTAATACAGAAGATAGCTGTAAATTGCTTAAAATCCCTTTTGTTTGCAATAACGTATTAACTTGAACTATAACAATTCTCTTAGTAGGATGGCTTGGTGACTTGAATTTGTATTCATAAGTTGAATTTCTTTTAGTGAATTGTTTGCACCGATTGATTTTTTTCTTCATGATTATTGGTTTGAATAAAAGGGAAGTACATGTATAAACATCAAATGGTTTACCAATGGTACCACTTAACACGTATACTTCAATGTTCCCCATTGTTTGCACCAATTGATTTTTTACTTCATGATTATCGATTTGAATCAAAGGGAAATACATAATATACTTATATAATAATATTAATAGAACTTGACACAGGGATCTCCATTCTTATCCAACATAGCTACTACTACAGTTTCATTATCTCAAACATGATATCACTTCTCTTCTCCTTTGCTTCCATGATTGCCTTGCTCTCCATTTATATTTCATGCTTCGTGTTGATAGATTTTTAATTTGTATTCATTTTTTATTTTTATTTGTTATTGTTTGGAAATTTTGTATTAATTTATTATTTTCATTCATAAATTAATAATTTTTATGAGATTAGTTTAATTAATTATAATTATTACAATAACATATGTAAGTCCTAATATTACATAATTCAATATTTTATGTTTTTATAAAATTATTATATATGTAAGTGTATAAGTTAAAAACTAACTAAACTTTATTTTAAAACATTTTAAGTTTTCTTTATTTTAAACGCAATAAAGCGGATCCAAATTCAATATAGAATTTTAGATTAGATTTAGACTTGAAGTTTCAATACAAGGTTTGGAATAGGACGTGGTTGGACCTCATCCAACTCAATTCTCTTTTATATAAAGTGGGGATCATATTGTTTGGATACTAATTGCAAGTTCATGTATTCTAAATGACACCATCACTTTTTTTTTTTTTCTTTTTCTTTCTTATTTCTGAAAAAATCATACATTTCTTTTCAACATGTTCCTCATCGATATCCTCATGTAAGAAAAGCAGAACCTTCTCTTTGTCGAGAGGAAGGAGAATAAATAGCAACCGAGGTGGTTACTTCTTTTTTCTTTATTCTTTTTCTTTCTCTTTTGATTATTTATCTCCAACCCACCATGCTTTGGAATCCCATTTAATCTTGAACGTTTTTCTTTACTTTTTAGTTTCCCCATGGATACTTTCAACACATCAACATAGAAATCAGAGCATCATGTGGAGGGAGAGTCAAACACAGGCAGTATGCTCTCTAGTTGCTCCATTGATAGCTTAGGGTATCTCCCTAGCTAACTGCAAAAGGTGCATTTGACATTTCTTATTTTAAAGACTTATTTCATTTTTACCGTTGAAAAATTAATGTTCATAAGGGCATTTTAACTGCAAAAAGGAGACAAGTCATTAAAATAAGAAATGTCAAATGCATCCCCCCTTCTTTCATGGGGTCTTGTAGCACACAAGGAAGGGGTAGAAGAGGAAGGAAGAGGAGGCCCAATACTTGTTTATTTGATTCTAATTCTTGTCGCTTTGGCTGAGGTTGAGAGTGGTAGCACCTAGGATCCGTTTGGTTTGGAATTGGAATTGGAATCAGAATCAGTATTGAAATCCTCTTAAATCGGAATTGGAATGGTCTATTCCTATATATAGTCAGTTTGGTTCAAATAGGAATGGGAATGGGAATTAGAATCAGTAGGAATGGGATTTCATTCCCAAGGAAGAGGAGGGAATGGCTATCCCCTCAAAAGGGGGAATGTCATTCCAGCAGGAATGGGAATAGGATTCCGATTCCGCCCAACCAAACAGTTGGAATCAGAATAGTCCATTCCACTTCTGATTCCAAACCCCTATTCCCATGAACCAAACAGGGCCCTAGTTTTGCCTGTTTGTTTGAGGCTAGGTTCTGGAGGGATCCCTTTTGGGTTGGTGGGCCTCTATCTTTTTTGTTTTTCTTTTGATGGTTGTTTAAGTTGAGAACTACTTTCTCCATGTATACGTATGCTTTTTTTATTTTATTAATTTTTTTACCTTACCTTTTCAAAAAAAAAAAAAGTTTTGAAGCATTTTGGTTGAACTTATTATTTGACTTGGAACAATAGATTAGTTTTGGTTTTTTAATTAAACTAACTCATTTTATCTAGAAGAATGGACAACACCAATATAAGCATCTAAAAATATTTTATGCCATTCTATTATTTCCATTAAGAAACTAAAATTATTGGTATTACCATATAATTAGTATATTTATGTAACTATATCATATATCATATTATAATATAATATAATACCATATAATTACTGTTGGATTATATGATATTATACCATATTATTAGTTATGATATTATACATAATATTATAGTAATTATACCTATATCATAATTAGGTATGGATGCAAAACTAAACTGGATGAAAGGGATATGATAAGATTTTGCAGAAAAAGCATTTCATTATCCGCTTAATCCTGGTAGGAAATTTAACTTCCAAGTTTCAACAGGAAGAACTAACAAATATCTCCAAAGGGGCGTGTTCTTTCATCCTTCAAGAAATTTTCCTGTCTTTCTAATTTTAAGAACAAAAATTATGGATATCAATCAAGTTAAATAGGAAAACCAGGAGAGAAATTTAACGAGTTGGAGTAATCAGACAAAATTTTAAATCAATGTAAGAAACAAGTGTTCAATACCAGAACATGGCATTGAGCAGCACAGATAATCTCTCTTGAGCAGCCCAGGCTTTGTGACATTGAGAAGCACAGATATCTCTCTTGCGAAGAATGCAAATACAAGGTTTAAACATATTTGTATTTACACTCTTCCCAAACTGAGCCTTAGAAGGTTTTTGAACTAAACATATTTGTATTTTCACTCTTTCCAAACTGAGCCTAAAAGGGATACATCTTGTGTCTTCAAGGATGATCGCAAGACTCCATGGGAAATCTCCACCTTTCCTTTGATTAATATCTTCCAGCCTTTTTTTTTTTTTTTTTTTTTTTGCCGCACACGCTTGGCACCATAAAATACCAGAACATGACACACAATATCCAGAGATACCCAAGTTTGAGTAGGTTCAAAGGTTCCAACTGGGTCCGTTGATAAGGTTTCTGGCTAGTTGTAGATGAAATTTGAGATCAATTCCTTAAGTTCATCACCAGGGTTGAATGGAGAAAAACAAAAAAGATGTCTAGTTGCATTGTTAGAAAATTTTATTTCGGGAAAGAATTAATAATTAAATCAGATGCAAAAGAGAATAATTATCTGAATACATCTTATAACTCGAAGGAGCCGAATACAACAGAACCCTATGGTAGTTAAAAGAATTAAAGTAATACAACGAGGGAGGAAAATTTTCAAACTAGGTGAAAACAGCATGGAGTGATGGAGTCGGACATCAGATGCAAAGAGATTTAACAGCCATTGATGACATTCCTCTTAAATCCAAAACCTTTTGGTTAACAATGGACTAACTTTAAAATATCCCAATCCATGAATACATACCAGTTTGCCGAGAGAGAGCCTTCTCCTATTGGTGTCAAACCAGTTTCCCGACAAATACAAACAGGTCTGACACCACAGAATTTGGATTTCCAATTAAAAGAACAGGGAACATCTTTCGATCAGTACTGCTACATCCTCCTCTTCAGATTAGTTTGAGCAGCATCCGACTTTCTTCACAGCTGATACATCATCCCTACCACCCACACTGATCATCTGTCCTTTGGGCAAGGCAGCAGGATCATCCCCGATGTCCAGAGCCTTCCTGCTAACGACACGGTAGATCTGGGTGAGCACTTCTGTGAAGGCACTCTCCACATTAATAGACTCCAGGGCAGATGTCTCCATGAAAAAGTTGTTCTCTCTCTCAGCAAATGCCTTTGCATCTTCTGTAGAAACAGCTCGCAGGTGACGAAGGTCAGCCTTATTCCCCACAAGCATGATCACAATATTAGAGTCTGTGTGATCCCGCAGCTCCTTCAACCATCTCTCCACGTTCTCAAAAGTAACATGACGGGTGACATCATAGACAAGCAATGCACCAACAGCTCCTCGATAGTACGCACTTGTGATTGCACGGTATCTTCAGAAAGAAATTGGAGTAAGAATCATTCTGAAACTACTAAAATTCAGTTCGTTTGGAATTTTAACTGAGAATTAGACCAACATTTTGTTGAGATGGTTGGAATTGAAGAATAAGTGGCCTTTTTTGCTGTCCTTGTCATACAAAAACTATCAATACCTAGCTTTGAAACTATCAATACCCCCATGAAACATAAAGACATATGCCTAAACAATGCTTGATAACTTCAAAAGGCAGAAATAGTCTCCCCTCATCATTATTTAAAGATCTTCTTAACCTTGTTTTCAACATTATAACATTTTCAAAATTATCAGGTCTAAAGTGCATATATCAGCTTTCTATTATTAAAGCAATTAGAGAATAGAAAAACAAAATCTTGATTAACTATTAGGTAAACTTGCGTCAAAGTAAACAATTTACTTAAGAAGTATGCAAATACATTCAGCCTGAGTGATGATTTCAATGGAACTAAAGAGCTGGAAAAAGCTACATTTCTACAACTACTCCAATAATGAAATTTGCAATATCATAGAGAAGATTGGTCCAAATGAAGCGCACAAAGTAGAGGCAGATCCACAGCAAGGTTTGATGGCAAAATATCATTGTGATAATAGATCTTCAAATTTCTTGGAAACCTTTATCAATTATCAAGTATGATAATAATTAAATGCAAAATTAAGACAATATTTGCTCTGATATGCAGGCAAAACATATCAAAATCGATAATTAATTTGTATAAACAATTTGCCACATGAAGTAGAGAGGCTCTTTATACTGAAATGTCAAAATCAAAATAAAAAAAGAAAAATAAAACAAAGTACGAAAGCTTCTGCATATGATCTCTCTCTCTCTCTCTCTCTGTCTCTCAATTGCAGGAGGGGCTAAAAAATATATGGAGTTCATCCTTTTTTTTTATGAAAATGTTTTCTTTTCTTTAAGTAATCTCTCAATGTATTAAAAATGAGTTTAGCTTCAAATCAAACATGTGCAAAGTTGGTATGCATGCTTTTGGTAAAGGAGATTTAAATTAGCCTTCAACACAAGAAGTGATGTTTATTAGAACCTCAAAGAACAAATACTAAAAGTGGTAGCAATTGAACAACAAGGCTCATGGTTTGAGGTCTCCTGTGTAACCAAACACAAAGCCATGGTAGAAACCCCAGCAACACATAGTCAAATGAAGAAGGAAAACAATCTACACCCAAACATCAAATGAAACATTCACTAAAATGTAACATTTCCCATTTTTTAATTAAAAGAAAATATTTCCTCGTGGACAACCACATATATAATATGTTATTTATCAATAGATTTTACCAATAAACAAGCTAATGACACAGTCTGGAAGTGTTTAGGCCAATGCAAGACCCATAACCAATATAAAGATAAAAAAATACTAAAATAGTAGAATTTATCAGTATTAACTAGAGCTCTTACAATTTACAAACTAATTTATATATATATATATATATATATATATATATACAATTTACAGTCTGCTAGAATGCTATTCCACAGATCTACTGAAGCATTTTTAAGAGACAAGACAGTAAGCAACAATACCCCTTTACCCTTTGCATTAATAGTTAGTATATTTTCCTTTACATTGTTCAATCACTTTTAAAGAGACAAGACAAAAAGTGAAGAAACAGAAACTCTTATATGCAATTATTTCACCACCACATCCATTGTTAATATTTATATGAAGTATTCGGACGTTACTCCCATCCCAGTGCATCCGACCCCACCCAAAAAAGAAAAATAAAGGAAAAGAAAAAACAAGGTAAGATTCTTCCCCATTCCATGTTGATATATGGAAATCATCAAGCTAACAGTCTCTGACACTATTTTGATTTAGTACATATTAGATTTAAATCATTCTAATCTGCAAGGTCATCATTTAAACCTTTAATAGGCAATATGAATATTTTTAGGGGCATAAGCTGCACCTTTTGGATAAGGCTAACAGTGTATAATAAAAAACTATTAGTTTCACCAAATTTATAATACAAGCAAATTCAATGTCATTGTTAAAAGACTAAGCAAATGCTAACATTAGTAGGAAGTAATAGAGTGAACATCTTCTGTACAATTTCAATATCATCCTATAGCCACGATCCTTAACACAATATTAGACATCTAGTCACTACATTCTACAATCCTTGACAAAATTTAAGAGAAATTCATTAAATCTTACCAAAAAAAGCATCTTATAAACCTTTTGGGAAAATTACACGTAATTTTTTATTGGCAGGAAAATGCATAAATCTAGCAACAATACCAGGAAAGAAAGATTATTGCATGAAGAAATCAATCCAATGCATGTAAACAAATCACTTTTACCCGTTATAACGAGCGGATCTAAGAGAACTTTTTTCTTTGATCGATAACATCTAAGAGAACAATCGTTAAACTATATAATATAATTAGAAGCCCAATGCATTTTTCATGTCTAATCAATGCAGGAAACTGGTTGACCAACAAAAACTATAAGGAATACCAAAAAAAACAAACAGTAGTTGCAATGGTGATCGAATCGACGATCTTTGCCGGCAAATGTGGAATCTCAAATTTGAATAAAATGAAAAAAAAAAAAGATTGGATATGAAATACAGAGAAAAGGAGAAGGGATCAAACCTTTCTTGGCCGGCAGTATCCCAAATCTGTGCCTTAACGACCTTATCATCAACGTGGATGCTTCGCGTAGCGAATTCGACACCGATCGTGGATTTAGATTCAAGGCTGAACTCGTCCCGGGTAAATCTGGAGAGCAGATTAGATTTCCCGACACCTGAATCGCCTATCAAAACAACCTTGAACAGATAATCGTAATCGTCGTCGGCTCTGTATGCCGCCATTTTCTGTTTGGTTGTTTCTCCGAGAAAGAGAAGAGAGAAAAAAAGTGAGCCTTCGTAGATCAAAATTTGCGCTTTTTAATATTAGTTCTAACAAATGTCTATCTTCTTCGCTACGAACGTCAAAATTTCACCATTTCGGAGAGAGAGATTTCCGAAGAATGAAATAGTGATTGCTTATTAAAGCTTCTCAAATAAGTTTTCTATAGAACAACAGAGCGAGAGAGCGAGAGAGCGAGAGAGCGAGAGAGCGAGAGAGAGAGCAAGAGAGAGTGAGTAAGTGAGAGAGAGAGAGAGAGAGAGAGAGCACGAGAGATCAAAAGGTCCCTCCCTCCGTTCTCTAGTTTTGGAGGAGGAACCTTTTATCAGCGCCAAGGAATCCAGGGATTTTAGATCCGATAAGTTATCGGACTTCATATTTGTGTGCGTGGACTTAGTCCGGAAGCGACACTTAATTCTTAAAAGTGGAGCTCTTAATGGGTGTTAGTTATGAGATTGCAGAGTTATCAAATAAGACTTTTCCTGCAATATGATATAATAATAGTCTCACCCATTGTATTTTAAACCAATTGGAGTACATAAAGTGGTTTACCACAATGGGAAAATAATCATCGCTTCGTGTTGTTTATTAATATGAATATTAATAATAAAAATAGTTTCATAACATTATGATATGATATTAATGTATATACATGTATTCATATGGTTCATAATTTTATGTTATAGATATTAGTGTATTTATTTATTCCATAGTGTAACCATAGTTATGTTGTACCATTTACTATATGATATCATAACCATAATTATTACAAATTGTGTATGATTATAACCATGTACTATAATATAGTGTAATATAATTTTATCATATGATTAATACACATAACAGTATAATTAACATATAGTATTAATTACATATTAATATCATATGTTAATTATTACAAGTACATATTATATCATATATAATATAATATAATTATATGGTATACATATGATTGGTATTACTGTTATTATGGTTAATACATGTGAATATAATATGGTATATATGTATTAGTAAAACACTATAATAATATGTTATACTATATAATAGTATATTATACTATTATAATATTATAGTATTATATAGTATAGAATTATAATACTATACTATTAATAGTATATACTAGTATAATATACTATATTATATATTTTTATAGTATACTATGAATAGTATTGTATAGTATACTATATATATATATACTATTTTATAATATACTATAATATATTAATAATTAATATAAATTGATTATAATTTTAAATGAAAGTAGATTATTTAGCGCAATAATATATCATTGAATATCTCAATTTCAATATAATTAATATTTACTAATAATTATAGTTTAATGCAAATATGTCTTATATATAATTATAGTTAAATTGAGATGGATATATAATTATAGTTAATGTATTTTATGCAATTTAATGGAATAATGGAGATGTTAGAACTATCCTAATTAGGAGTGTTAAAAGTCTTAAAAGGTAACTAGTCAATTGAGTTATTTGTTTAATTTTAAAATTAGAAAATTAAAAAAAAAAAAACAAAAAAAGATAGGTTCCTTTAAGAAGCAACCACAAAAAGATAAATTACTTTAAGAATAAACCAAAACCTATTAGGGAACCTCACCCATCACATTAAGATTTTTTTAGGTTGAATGGTTCCTTGACATGCTCAATTATTGTCAACCCGACATTCTAATCAGGATGGCAATTTCTACCATACTTAGTGAGTACCCACCCCTATCTGCCTTGACAGGGTGAATTGTTTTTTTTTTTTTTTTTGAAGGGCAGGTTTTGGGGTGGGGATGGATTTTGGGATGCTATAACCCGTTCTGGTACGGGTAGGGTATTAGGCTAAACCTGACCCTCCCCAACCTACATATTGTTGGAAAGCATATAAACTTTATGTATTATATGTTGAATTTAATAATATTTTGAATTTTATGTAAAGGATAATTGATAGTTTATGTTTTTTTTTACATGTCAGAATCAAATAATTTGAAATGTTGTTGTTTGTTTGTGTTATTTTACTTTTCTATTGCTTCTATATAACAAGAAATAATAATAAAATAAATGTGGGTTCTAAAACCAACCTGCCCCTACCCTTGAACGTGTGGAGGGTAGGATCGGGGAGGGTTTTGCATTTTCATGTGTGGGGAGGGTTTGGATTCTCAAAATCTAACCCTCTACGAGTTTTGGGGCGGGTACAGGTTGGGAGGTTTAGAGAGGCGAGTAGGATCTAGAATTTACAAAACCATCTCTAAACCTTCGTCATTGCTATCCCTACATTCTAATTTGAGTTCCATAGAGTATTACATATTTATAAGTCATATAACTACAATTAAAGAATTAGTCTTCATATGATATGGGCTGGTTAAACTGTGCGTTTATGATTTTATTGTTGATGCTAACAAAGATTTTTTTTTTCATTTTACATTTTTATTTTACATGGGTGAGAGGTAGGGGTTTGAACATATTTGAAATAAAATGAATCTATATTATCTATACTATATATTAAAACAAGGCTGACCACATCAATAGCCCTCTCCTTGCTCGGTTACCCAATTCTAGCTTCTCCTTAATCCATTCTCTCTCCTCAAAATACCATTCTTTAAACTCCCAGCTTGTCACCTCATTCACTCTTTTCCCTATCCCACCGGACCACATCATCCTCCACTCTCCTTCTCCCTTTTTCCATCCCCATTTCATTGGCTCAAGTAACACTTGTGGTCAATCACGATTCAACGTCATGATATATTTAGTGTTTATTTGAAAAATAAGTGCTTAAAAAAGTGCTTATTCTGATAAGCATTTCTGAGTGTTTTGTGAAAAAACAGTTGTTTTAAACTGGGGTAGTATAGGTATTTTTAAAATGTTGTGGTGGGCCAAGATAGGCCAAAAAAGAAATTAACACTTAAAAATAAGCCCAAGCTTTGGGCTTCTCAAATAAGTAATTATTCTTAAAATAATCACTTATTTCAGGCATATTTCCCAAATGCAAATAAGTGCTTATTAGTGTGGTCTCTACCCAAAATAAGTGTCTATTCGATAAGCACTTATTTTTAAGAACTCCCAAACTTAGTGAAAGTCTCTAAACCCACCCTATCCTCAATGGGGGCAGGTTTTCCCCGATCTTAAATGGGGATGGGTGAGAATAGGGAAATTTTTGTAACTGAAATCAAGGATAGGAAAGGGATGGATCTATATATAATTCTCCTATAATATAAAAATAATAAAAATTGGTAACTTAATTATTCATTAACTAATAGTTAATTAATTTGTTTAGTTCATCATTTAAAATTAACCTTATTGATTTTAAAATTAATTTTAATTAATTCAAATTATTCTTAAAATAATAAAAATGATTTTACTAATATAAACTTATAAAATCAATTAAAATCAATGCAAATTTATCTAACAATGACTAATATGCATAAAATATTAGTGAAATTAATAATTAACAAATATTATAAAAAAATAAAGAAACATCTAGATTCCATTTATAAACATTAAAAGTTTATTAATCATAAAAATAATTATTACTTTAAAATCCATAAAAATAATACAAATTTAGCCTATACTACATAATCAAAAATTTAGAATTGGGTTGGACTTAAACCAAATATTCCTAAATGGAATTGTCTTAAAGCTTCTTATACTTTAATTTTATTTAGTAAAGCCCATGCATTTCAAACATAATTAATAAAAATAAAATTGTTGTTAAAAATAAAATCTATTTAAGTTCAATTTAGAAATAATAAAATAATAGTATCTAATAGTATCTGCCTAAAAATAAGTTAATAAATATAACTGAAAATACTAAAAAAATTCTTAGACAATACATGGATTCAAAAGTAATGCTTGGGGCGGACTCAATTTAGCTTGGCCCAAGTAGGAATGTTATGAGATTCATTCTACTTTAACTTGAATTAACAAAGCTCATGCATCGCACAGGTCCCATTAGTCCATATATTTATGGAAGTAAGTAGTCCACTTCAGCGGTGCCCTAATAATTTTTTGAAATTTTTTTCTTTTTATATTTTCAAAAAGATAAAAAAGTAACCAAAAGATATAATTAACTCCATTCTCATCAATTACAAAGAGACTTTACACTGTGATTGTGTGTGATGCAAATTGGAGTCATGTTTTAAAAACTGGCCTTCACAAGAACCGGTTTAGCCACCGGTTTCTAGGTCAACAATTCAACTATCCAGTTTGAATTGATGGCCCATTCTAATTTGAAAAATAAAAAATAAAAACAAAAACAAAAACTGTTGTCTTGGTCGAATAGATTGACAGTTCAACCGCCCAACAGCTTGTTGACCAAGCCAACATTTTTGGCAAAGGAGCAGTTCAGGGTAGGGGTGTCAACGGTATTCGAAAATCCGATTTTGAATTCGATATTCGATATTCAATATAATTGAATCGAATTCGGATAATTCGAATATCTAATCAGTCAAATTCGAATTCGATATAATTTAATTCTTATATATAATATATAAAATATTTTATAAATAATAATTAAGTTATATAAATAATTTATATATTTATATACATTGTATCAATAAAATATTTATTTTATATATTTATTAATTATCTAAAATAATTAATTAATCAAATTCGGATCGAATCAAATATTTGAATATTTAATCGAATTTGAACTCGGATATTAATTTTTAATAGCCATTGGATATCGAATTGAATTCAGATATCGGATTTTCTAATTGGATTCAAATTCAAATATTGCATGATCCGATTCCAATTTAATCCGTTTACACCCCTAGTTCAGGGGTAAAAAGTAACTCGTTGCCTTGATGGTTTTTAGGCTGAAAAGTCCAACTGTACGGGTCAATGATGGTTTGAAAACCGTAGATGCAGATTTTGTATATGATTAAGTACTACATCCACTTATTTGTGAGTTGTGATCAAAATTTGCACTCTTTATCTATTTGCTTCCATTGGCAATGCAAATTTTGCATATGAGAACTTGATGCAAAATTTGAGAGAGACTTTTGGGTTTTCCAAGGCCTCTTTAATGTATGTTATTATTACACTTAAAAAAAAAAACCTTTAATAAAGAGAGTTTGTGGAATATTAATACAACATAATAAAGTAAAATATTAATAAATCAAATAAT